GCACGGTGGCGCAGTTAGTAGAGCTGCTGCCTCTCAGCGAGCAGGTTACCCTGGTTCAAATCCCAATCAAGGACCTTTCTGGGTGGAGTTTGTTCTCTCTGTGCAAGTGTGTTTTCTCCGGATACTCCTGTTTCCTCCCACAGACCAAAAACATGCATGTTAGGCTGACAGGTAACTCTAAATTGTCCCTAGGTGTGAGTGAGAGAGTGAATGGTTGTCTAGTTTGTCTCTATGTGTCCCTGTGACGGACTGGAGACCTGTCCAGGGTGTCCCCCGCTCCTCGCACAGTGACTGCTGGACATGGGCCCCGGTGACCCAAAGAGGAAGAAGTAGGTGAAAATAATGGATGGATGGATATTTCAAAGCAGTCCACTCACAGTTTAGACTGATTGGTCTCATTCCTAGCTCCTGTCAAACACTTTACCAAACAGGACATTTAGAAACTAACAAACACGCTGATGTCCCTCGACTCTGAGGGATTTGAAGAGTGAATGTTTGTAGCTTTTCAAATGAGTGTTCTTCTGGACTGTAGTTGAACAGGGAATGCAAGAACAAACCCAGTTATAAGAGGGGGCCAAACTTTTAAAATCCGTTCAAACTAAGGACCAGTTTTAATCAATGCATTAACTTGTCATCTGTTCTTGGTTGCAAATCCCTGAACATGAGTTTGATTGGTCTCATTTGACGTTCTCTGATGCTTGAACCACGTGAAAATCAAAGATTTCTGAGAAATTCAGCTGCAAGTTGTCCAACTTTCAGGAGAGGTCTGCAGGAACAAAGCATGCTCAGTGTTTTTAAGGCAAAATGAGAGGCAATAAAAATGTCTTGCACATAAAATGTCATCTTGGGGGCCAGATAAGATGTTTACAAGGGCCATATTTGGCACTCAGGCCTTGAGTTTGACACCTGATGTATAAGAACAGAGGCAGATTTGTGTCTGTTTGTCTGAGGCACCGCAGAGTGACGGATCCTGGCAAGTGGAGGATTTTTTTTCTTCTAACATCAGGTGAAATAGTGGAGTCCAATCATTTCAGGAAACTAAACATTTAAGCAATATAAAAACTAGAAAGCATAGTTTCCTCAAATAATCAGGTTGGATGGATTACATATATGGTGGCCATCTTGGACTTTGATGCGGCAACGCAATTTTCAATAGTGGCCTTTCTTACGCCTCGATGCAGCCACACACCAAAATGGAAGTTGGCTTTGCTATCATTTCGAGTAAACAAATAATTGTTTTTAGGTCATTTTCTTATTAAATTTCGAAGAAATGCACAGCGAGTCCTCCTGTAAACGCTCCCATGGCCGCGAATCGGCTTTTGAAATGCAGCTGATTTGACCGTCAAAGTGCATTAATTAAGGTAAAGTTACACTGAGACACACCTTTACTATAATTTCGAGCAAATAAATAAGTGTTTTTAAGTGTTAATCTTGTTCATTCTTGTTAAAGTCCTCCCGTGCACGCTCCTGCGGCCGCCATTTGGCAGCCCATCGATTTTTGGCACACCGGCCCACATTTCCGGGTTGTCAGCGGTGACGTAAAATAGATGCGATTTACACGGCGATGCGACGTATTTATGGATTTTTTCCACTTTATTAGTCATATTTGGACTGATGCGACTTATAGGGCGGTGCGATGTGTACGGCGGAAAATATGGTAACAACTGGGCAGCATGTCAGCCATGTTGAAATGGGCTGACTCCTTGCAGACCAAACGAGATTTAAAATGAGGTTTGCTTCGATTTTGTGAAACACTAACGTGGAAAAATAATAAAACTGATGAAATGCGTTCAGTAAAAATATATATAACATAAAGCTTTGAATACATGTAAAATGTGTAAAAAATAAAGCAAAAAGTGGAATAAAATAAATAATTTTAAAATATGTATTCCCTGCATAAGCCTTGGCCATTATTAACAATCCTCATGCTGTCTATCACTCAGAAGATTTCAGGCCATAAAAGCAGAGAATCGTTTTAAAAAATGTGTCCAAACGTAAAAAGATGTATGTTTCTTTAAAGTGACAAAAACAAGTTTATCAGCTGGAACCCCATGTGTGCTCATGATGATTAGAGGGAATAAACATGTAAAATGTAACTTCTCATCTTTAGACTGAGAAAAAAAAAATCCAAGTTTTAAAATTTAATGACTTTTTCTTGGTTTAGCCTCGGCTGCTTGGAAAAGTATTTCTCCACAAAGTTTGAGGTGAAAACATTAGGTTTGAAGTACAATCGAGAGAAAAGCGAGAAAGAGAAAAGCTTTTATTGATTTGATTGTGATGGTTTCCATCTTATCTCACGAAAATCAAACTTTTAATGATTACAAAGTTGGTGCTTTGTTTTCTCTTTTTAATAAAACGATCTTCCCAGCTGCTTGGTAACAAAAAAAATCCCTTTAAAATATTGATGTTGGCTCAATTGATTAAACATGAAATGACGCAGTAATTGGATCTCCTCAAGCAAATAAACAAAAATAGTCTTTTAATGTTTGAGTATAAAAAATAAAATAAAAAAAATGGAGCGTGCATGTGCGTACCTTGGTGTAGGGGTTCTCCATCCAGGGTGGGAAGGTGGCCGTGGCCTCGTTGGAGTCCGCCTGGTAGTAGTAGAGGTTAAAGGTCTCTTTGCAGCTGCGGTGGTGCGTGCTCCTGGAGGAACACTCCATCATGGTGAACCTCAGCTCCACGTAGACCTGAGAGGCTCCTCGTCTCTGGATGAAGCCGCTGCGCAGCCACTGGCTGGACGAGCTTTCAGTCTGGCAGATCTGAAACGTCCTCACGCTGTCTTTCTCCTCGTCTAAACCGCTCACTTCCTCCCACTGAGACTGAAGAGAACAAAGGGTTGTCAAACTGAGCATAAAATATAAAATAAAACACATATAATCCAGAAAACCTCTGAGTAGTTTTATTTCACCTGTAAAGACAACCATGTAGGTACTTTTTAAACTTCTTCTTCATCTTAAATGGAGAAGAAACATCTGTGGTTGGGTCACAGAGGCAAGAGGTCCAGGAGAGAAACCCAGACCTCCCTCTCCCCAATGACACTTCCCAGCTCCTCCTGGGGGGACCTGGAGGTTTTCCCAGGCCAGAGAAGATGTACAATCCCTCCAGTAAGTTCTGGGTCTGCCCCTGGGCCTCTTACCAGTGGGACGTGCCTGGAAATCCTCTTCAGAGAGGCTTCCAGTGGAGATCCTGATCAGATGAACCTCCTTAGCTGACTCCTTTTGATGTGAAGGAGCAGCAGCTCTACGCTGAGCTCCCCCCAGATGACAGAGCTCCTCACCCGATCTTTAAGGCTGAGCCCAGCTACCCAACAAAGGAAGCTCATTTCAGCTGAATGGATCCAGGATCTCGTTCTTTGGGTCCTGATCCAAATCTCATGACCACAGGTGAGGGTTGGAACGTAGACGGACCAGTAAATCTAGAGCTTTGCCTTTCGACTCAACTCTTCACCACGACCGGCTGAAGCAACGCCCTCATTACTGAGGACATCCATCCATCTCCCGCTCCAGCCCAACATCACTCAGGAACAAGACGCCCAGATACCAGAACTACTATCAGTCCAGAACCATGGCCTTGGACTCAGAGGAGCTGACTCCTTGTAGTGCTGGACAATATACTGAAAATTAACCGACACCGAAATTTATAACAACGATCAACGTCATTTTGCCCATGTCGGTATTTTCAGTGTTTTAAAAAAAGAATCGCAGTTTTGTCTTTTGGCTGTGTATACGTAAGCTATGCTCATGTCCCTTTAAGATGCTGCGCCACGTGCAGGCTGTAGTCACGTGACTCCACCCCATCCAGTCTGTAACCAGAAGTGAAAGAGACGGTGCGGTTGAGAAAATGGAGGAAATTTTGAAAGTTGAAGCGGCAGCAGCAGCGGCAGAGCTGGTCCAGGAGGAAGAGGGGCAGCTAATAAAAAATAAAAAATAAAAAAAAAGCGTCATCAGTCGTCTGGCAACATTTTGGGTTCAGCAAAGATTACATTGAACAAAAACAAGCCACGTGTAAATTATGCCAAAAGACTGTTGTGACAAGCCATGACACTACACCCAACCTCTTCCACCACCTGCAACCTTTACAGAGAGGTAGGCCTTTGCACATGACATTATATTTGCACAACTCATTGTTTACTTTTCCAAATGACAAATGTGAAATTTATTTTTTATTATTTAGTTTTATTTGCAAGGGATTACTTGACAACTCAAATGTGACCATTTCATTTATAAGAGATTATATTTTTAATACTTTGTGTTTACAGGAAAGTTATTTTATACTTTTGAATTTGTTCAGTTGTGCTTATTTGTTCAAAAATTATTAACAACTACAAGTACACATTTTCTTCATTTAATTGCAGAGGCTGCAGTTTTAAAGTTAATTAAAGTGGCAATAAAAAGGGAATTATGTCATCAATATAACTGGCTGTGAATTATTTATGCCGGCCTATCCCATTATTTTCGGGGGTGGGGGGTTGCAGTTATCGTCCATTTATCGTTATCGAGGTGAACTGCTCAATATATTGTGATATTGATTTTAGGTCATATCGCCCAGCCCTAACTCCTTGTACTTGAAACTGATATTGTTGCAGTTCTTTGTTGATTTTTTATTTTCTGTCAGAGAGTCAGGGGACAATTTTGGCTTTCAGTGGATTTTGATCCTGCTGAAACTTAAAATCGAAAAATAAACGTTCCTCCCACTGAGTCGCAGCACAGCGAGTGGGAATCCAAGTCGTACTTGTCAAACAAGGCACACGACTCCACACAGCATCCAAGACAGAGCCTTCACCCCTCAAACACACAGACTAAAATGTTCTCACAAATCTTCACGAGGCAAAAACTTGTGTCAGAAATGTACATTTTGCTCAGGAGCCAAAAGCAAACGCTTTAATGTTTGACTGCTGAGACAACAGTAAACATGTTCGCCATCGCAGTGTTCCCAAGAGCGCCGACCAAGAAAAAAATTGTACATACTTTGGGCAAAATTTAGCAGATTTGCTGAAGTTGAGACTCAGGAATTCAGTTATGTAAATATGTAAATCTTTGAAAATCCATTTGCACAAGATCTGTGGAGAGAGGCAGGATGCTGGTTTGAGTGAATTACAGAAAGCAAAGCACACCGAGCCGGGTCGAAACCACTTAAAGGAAGAAAGACCCTTAAAATGTAAAAATTTAAACAACCCCAAAACATGCAAACCAACATAAACACAGTGGCAGAAGCTTTATCTGTGAATTAAATGTTTTTGGCTCATCAAACACTTAACTTGAGGGGCTTTTTGTTCAAACTTCAGAAAGCAGCAAGACTAAACTTTCAACAAGAATAATGCATACGGAACATTTTACACCCGTCCACAAACATTTATACAGCAACCCATGGCAAAGGCCCGGACAAGCAAAGACCACGTTTTAACTTTGACCTTAAGTTGTGACCTTGACAGGGGCGCCACTGAGGGTGGGGGGTAAATGGCCATCCTTAAATAATTGGTGCCCCTCCCCCTGGCCCCTCCAGGCCAAAAATATTTATTTTGACTTATTTTGATCTGTTTGCATTTTTAATTTCCTCCTAGCTATTTAGGATTAATAGAAGCTCATGAACATTAAAACGGACCGTGTGTTTTATTTTTTTAATTTATTTTTTGTTAAAAACACAAATATTTTATTTAGGGCAGCACGGTGGTGCATTTGTTAGAGCTGGTGCTTCTCAGAGAGCAGGTCGTCAGATCAAATCCCGACTGGGGGGTCTTTCTGGGTGGAGTTTGCATGTTCTCTCCGTGCATGTGTGGGTTTTCTCCGGGTACTCCGGTCTCTTCCCACAGACCAAAAACATGCATATTAGGCTGATTGGTGACTCTAAATTGCCTCTAGGTGTGAGTGAGAGAGTGAATGATTGTTTGTCTCGTTTGTCTCTACGTGTCTCTGTGATGGACTGGAGACCTGTCCAGGGTGTCCCTCGCCTCTCACGCAGTGACTTCTGGACATGGACACCAGTGATGGATGGATATTTTATTTAAAATTGAATTTAAATTCTTGTCACCATAAATAAGGACAACCAGTCTAAAGCTAATGTCCTCAACATTAGGAAGCAGGGTCTTAAGGCGTTTTATGCATTTATATATATATATATATATATATATATATATATATATATACAAATTTAAGAGAGGGCAAATATAAGTTGAGTAGTGTTTGTGCTTTTCTCAGAAAATAATAACAGCAAGTTAAAAAAAATCTAAATAAAGTAGATGTATGTATACCAAAAGGTGACTCCCTAACTACCATATTGCTGTAGTTGTTAAATAATCTACATATTATTCAACAAACGTTCTAAAGTTCTGCTCTGGCTTTTTGTTTTGGTGTGCCACCCCAGGCCCTCCCATTAAAAAAATTCTGGGGGTGCCACTGGACCTCAACAATGGAGCTGAGGTGATGAAAAACTTTCGTGACACGCCGTCTAGTTGTGCTGTAGATTAGTAAGAAGTTTTCTTAAATCATCCTGAGCAGATCAGAAGTTAAGAGTCTTGACAAGACAAAGTTAAAAAAACATCCAATGTCAAATGGTCGTACAATAAAAACATTCACTTTTTGTAGCTTTCTGTGACACACAACATAAAAATAAACACTAATATGCAATCACATGTTAAGACTTTTGTAGACTTGTAGCTGTTAACACACTGACAGGCTGTAAGTCGATATATAGTAGGCGAGTTCATTAACCGTTGTCATGTTTTCACACTCGAGGTTTTCTAATGAATGATATATTTATTTAACATGAATTATTAATGGAACTATAAATAAAGTTATTCATTTCTGAAAGCATGAAGTCAGAATGATCCATCAGGTTGTCAGATGCAACAAAAAAAAAATCTACTATAAGAGTATGACTGTCCTTTACTTCTAAAAATAAAGAAGCGTATGGAAACTCTTCTGTCTTGTGTTTTCTTGATGCAGACAACTCCTGGCGTCTTTCCACCGCGACTTGTCATCAACGACTAAATTACTCTTTGTAGTCTTTTATGTTGAAAGAAAAAAAAACAATAAAACAACCACCCAGCCACATTTCTGACAACGCAAAGCTTTTGATAAGCGACTTCAAATGATAATAGCCGCTCTTACTATTTCAAGGATGTGAGCGTCTCTTGCTTTACATCTCAATCAAAACCGCAAACACGTTTTGTCTGTCCGGCCCCTGAAATCTGGCCTCCCGGCATTCGTTGGCGACTGTTTTTCTTCAGAGCCATGAGGGAGCGGAGCGGTTCTGATCACCAGAAATACCGCAGTAACCACTCTTCAGCTGATCGAATTACAAATATGTCTTTTTCTGGCAGCGGGAACAAAAATTGTGGGCAGCCAGTCACTGTGACTCCACTGTTGATGGGATGTATCAGAGCATCTGCTTTCAATAGACTTAAACGGCGCAGTCAGTGCGGTGTTTTCTTTATTCTGTCACTCGGTTGCCATATAAGGGTTTTGTTTATGAGAAAGTAACGAAGGAACAGCCGAAGGCCAAAGATCTGCAGTCGCCACCAGCTTTGTGTTTGGAATACAGATAGCGACGCCGGGGTTACATACCTCTGATTTGTCTTGGGAGAAGATGGTCCATTTGAGATCAGATGTTTCTGCTTTAGTGTTCATCAGGACCTCTGCAAAGGAAGAAATAAAAAAAAAATGAAGCCATAGGCTGAGGGGAAATGAGCAAATGACACGTTTAAAGCTAATTTACATTCATAGAAACAAATCAAAACGACAGAAGGAACATATTTCAAGTCCCAAGTCCTCTGCCAAGTATGAGCCAGGGCTTATACTTGGATTACGGTGGAAGATGGAGTTTCAGCAGTCAATTACGTCCACACAGAACGTTTCCACCACTCTTCAGAATGCTTTTTCCTCTAATGTTTGTTGTTATTCCCCGACGTCGTCTCTGATGCCTGCGGTCACGCTGAACGTGATGAGGACTCTGCTTCGGCCCAGGGGGAGCAGGAACGAGCTCAGCAGCAGAATCCACCACCCTCACGTAGACTTGGATACATGCATGCCAAGATTTAAGCCCTTCCTGTTACAATCTGTGATCACAATAGGATTGATTTTTTCGTTAGCTTTTGAGAGGCAGCCTGCAAGCTCACAAACAATCTGAGATGCTCTGCAAGATTCGGTATCCTGATAAAACCAGAACCACGTGTAACCTGAGGCGCACCTTGGTTCGAGTGAATCTTTTCATCCGTTTTGTTCTAGTGTACATATCTTATGTTTATACTGATGGGGTGAGGTTTCTGTCACAGACTGGTTTTTTAAACCCTACCTGTTCCCTGAAGATGCCTTTTTCAAGGGTCGGGTGGTTTGCTCGTACCAATAAACAAGATTTAATGTGGTTCTGATCAAGGAGAGCGCCTTCATGAAATTGATTCTGGTTGGAGCTCGAGGGGGTTTCACTGCAGGGTTATCACTGAGGTTATTAGGGTCTTTGTTGAATAAGCTACATATACAGGACCTGACAGGTAGGTCAGCATCCCATAATCACACAATGCACAACAATAACACACAAATGCAATCATAAAACTCTTCTGTAGAAAATAAATAAATAAAATACCGTCTCCGTGATATGATTTCTACGGTATTTAGGCTTAAAGTTTTATTTTTCCTTTCAACCTGACAGATTTTAGCAGAGCTTCACATAAAGAACAAGCGGTAAGCTGAAGTACCTCATCACTGAGGGGTTTGAAAAGTAAATTGTTGTAGATTTGGAGATGAGTGTCTTTCTGCACAGGAATTGAACAGGGAATGCAAGTAAACCTTAAAGTTTTTGGTGCAAGACTTTCAAGTGGGTAGGAGTTACACTGTGGAGAAGAACAGAAGTACCGGTAGTTTTTTTTTTTTGTCCGAGGCAGCACAGAGTGACAGATCCTGGTGAGTGGAGGAAGCAATTTTATCCTCCACCAGGAGCAATGGTGGAGCCAAGGGGTGGTCAATGGCCCCCACAGATTAATATTTGGCCACCCCAATCATTTGAAGAAGCTATCATTTAAAGCAACATAAATACATCATAGTTTCCTCAAATGATTGGGGTGGCCAGTTTACACAAGTCTATTTTCCATTGTCCAGTCTCACCATGACTTTTTTCAACTCTACTTGGCTCCACACAGTCTTGGTGGCTCTCTGTATAACTTGTGTGACACCTTGATGTGGGTGCAACCGTCATAGTGCTGGCTCGCAAAACTTCAGCCACATAATTTAAACACCCCACAGTGACAGACAAAAAGTGAAATAAAATCAGAAAACACTCTCCATCCTCTGCCATGGTATCCAAAAATGCCAAGGATCAGTCAAAACCACCTTTCCTCTGCCTGTTGGAGCACGTAAATTACTGTAAGTCTACTAGGCCTAGCTTTGTCTGAATTCTGCCGTCAGCCAAGAAACAGAAATGGCTGCAACACAACATACCAAGGTTTGGTTTACGCGCTGCCGTTTTAAGGTTCAAGTTCTGTATTTGTCATTTGCACCACATGTGATGAGGTGGAACGAAATTGTGTGCACAGGGTCCCAGTTACATCCAAGACAAGTATAAAACGTAAAAGAAAAACGGTAATAAGAGCTAAGTTATGAACTAAGAAACAAGTCAACTAAAATAGGCTAAGCACTAGTAGTACACAAACAATAAGCCAAACAGCAGCACGAACATGAGTCTGTGTGACCAGATGAGTACAAATGAACACAGCAGCATGAAACAAATCAGCAGCTTCATGGTGCGAGTTTTTTCACAGTATTATCCTGGTTAGATAATCATGAGTCTAACAGCCTCAGGGTAGAAGCTGTTCCTCAGTCTAGTGGTTCTACACTTAATGCTCAACCCCCTGCCTGAGGAGAGCGGGGCAAAAAGTGTGTGCTGGGTGAGTGAGGTCCTTCATGATGTAGGTGGCTCTCTTCCTGCATCTGAGGTGTAGATGGTATAATGTATACCATAATGGTATACCATTTACTTTTTTTAGTTAATATTAAATGCTGAGGTTGTGAAATTTTAAAAATTGTGAGTTTGATTCTTGTGAAGGAGACACTCTCATGACTGAAATCTTTCTCAGGCCCATCAAGACCCTGAAGTCAAACCTCGAGTTCAACTTGGCTCACTTAGAACCGCTGTCGAGGAGGTACTAAGAACAGAGCTGCAGCAGGTGGAATCACTCAATGGAAAGACTGAACCTACAATGATTCAAGCCGATCAGGGCCAAATCCAATGGTAAAAAAAAAACAATAGCTGTGTGGTGGTGGCCATCTTGGATTTTGATTTGGCTGCACAGTTTTCTATAGTGACCTTTAATACATGAGCATGCATCAGGATACCTTTAGTACACTTACATACACCAAAATAGAAGTTGGTACCTCACATATTTTTTAAGTTATCAAGATCAAAACAAGCATGGATGAACAGACTCAGCAATGGGGGCAATAAACACGGGTCTAAAATAAACAATGCAATTGATCATCCATCTATCCATCTATCTATCCATCGATTGATCATGATGTAAACGTCATGCATGTTTTGATCGATCGATCGATCAGTAGATAAAGATAGATAGATAATAGATAAATAGATGGATGGATGGATAGATACTTTATTAATACCAGGGGAAATTTGAAGCATTCAGTAGAATGTTCTAATTATGTGTATATATATATATATATATATATATATATATATACATAAAAAGAAATAATCAAAAAAGAAGCAGAATACACAAATGTGGAAAAAGACTATACGCACATGCACAAGGTGGTAGATGATAGATTAAACATGAATACAGAGGAATCATTAGCTGCAACCTACAGAGAAAAAAATTATTTACGTCTAAAATATTTTTCCTGCCACATCCACAGATTGATGGCTATGACCGTCACTGCGATAAACTGCTGCCAAAATCATTAATTCATGATTACCGTGTAAGCTGGAGATATACAGTACTCATACAGTGTTAGAATAAATTTTGCACATCACTGCTCAGCAATATCATGCAATATTTTACAAAAAAAAGGGGGCGATGCCCACACTTATTTCTGTGGTTCTGTATGACACGAGAAGCAGTCAGAAATACAAATAAAACACACATGAATGCACACACATAAAAAAAGACCTTAGATAAACTAGAAAGTGACCCGTGCTTCCCGTAGAGATAAATGTGGCTGTTAAAGCTACAGCTGGCCTAAAGCAGATGCTGGTTTACACTGATGAACAGAACTGCAAGATTATGATCGGGCACAGTTAACACTAAAATGTTGCAAACGTTGCCTTCAGGGTTGGATTCAATGCAAATATAACGGCGTATTTGAATATTAAAAGTGTACCTCTCTTGACTACGGGAAATCAAGTTTGTCCAGTTTCTTTACTGACTTATTGAGGAAAAATTAAGGTTCTAATTTCCAGAAAGATAATGATGATTTATTGCATAAAATTGGTTTGGTAGGGCATATTAACTGCAACGTGAACATTTTTTGAAGCACCATTTACCAAAATTACAACAGATGCTTAATGAAAACAAGTAATGTAATCTGACTCGTTCCCATTTCTCCTCATCTTTTATTCCTACTCCTACATTTTGCACATCGAGCCAATGGAAGTGTGTCCCATTCCTTTAAAGAAAGATAAAATAAAAAGAATGCTTTCTAGTCCTTAAAATCTTAAATAGTTAGGGGTACACTTCAGAACAAAGCAGCATGAGCTACGCATGCATTGAGTATTTTCTGTTAAAAACTATTTAAAGATATTGTAATATTTAGGCAAGTGCATTCTGGTGTATTGTCACTGCAACCATTATAAGGTCCAGTCTGATGTGCACTAATGATTATGATTAGTATTGTTGTTATTCTACCAAGCATGCAATGGTAAAAAATAGTATATTTATCCATTAATGCAGTAGTACTATTTAAACATTGGAATGTATAGTTTTAATGTCAAGTTATTTTATTTGATCTTTTGTGTGCATAAAGCATCTACCTTCCTTCTCAGCATCACATTAGTTAGCTCCCTACCTTTACCTATCGTTGTCCCTAGCTTAACAGTAGCTACCCTCAGTCCTACACTCTTGACTTTCCTTACCTTCTCCTGTCTCCTGACATGTTTCCCTCCTCAAGGTCTTTGTCAACAGCACCGGTAGCAGTCGCCATTAACCTGGGCCTTGAATGATCCAATAGTGTCGCTTGGACAAACTCAAATGTTTATTTTTGTAAAAGTATTTTATGTCTGACATCCTTCCTGAAGCAACCCTCACCATTTACCTGGGTTTGGGACAAATATAGTTGGCCAAATTAACCCCTATCCAGATTAAACCCGTTTTAGTTGAGCCCAGTCCAGAGTATACCCCAGGGGATAAACGGTCCCAGACCAAACAGTACCCGGGGGTGTACCAAGTGGCCAGATGATAGCTTCTATAATTTGACAATTCATACCCTTCATACCAAATGTTTAGAGTTTAAAGATTTAAGTTAGTTATCTGTCTTAATGAACCTGACAAAGCTGAACACCTAACAAAATGTTGAAAAATTAAGTAATTATTGTGTACTGTCATGACTCATCGCTACTGATATCATGGAGGTATAATCTGGCCAGAGAGGCTTACATATATATATATATATATATATATATATATATATACACACG